CTGCACGACTGGAGCAGAGTGGTGAGGAGTCTTTGTTTCCATGTATGCGTGGTTTATTAAAAACAAAGCGTTCACCGTTCAATATACCAAATGATGTCTGTGAGAGAGTTGGGCACTGCCGACAGACACGGTAGTGCTGGGCGAATAGCGCAGTTAAGTGACTCTGACGGCAGAAACTGTAGCATGGAGGTCGAATTCCTCAATCTCTCTCCTTGTCTGTGGTAGCGGTGTAAGTCTTGAGACACCGAGACCGAATGAAGCGGAGGAGTAGCTACTAAGACGCGGCGAAGGGAATATGCACTGCTTTCCTCCAATGCGATGTTTTAGTTTGTAACTACAAATGCAGTGATTATAATAGTAGTCTTTTGTCTATCCATCGTCTTCCTTAGCAGCCAGCTCGTTTGTGCAGATGGGCGCGACAATGTTGATGGGGCAGGAACCATTGCCCTTATGAGTTAGTAAAATGTCTCCACCTAGCTTTAGTATTTGTTTAGTGTTTGCGAGCTCAATAGTTTACCCTGGTGCACCCAAAATAAATGGGTGAGAGGGGAACTGAGTGCGAAGCAAGTCTGCAGTCTGATAGGCGAGATATAAAATACTGCTGTGCTACCTCCATCACCTCTGTAGCTACGGATTGGTAGACGACGGCGTGCATATGGTAAATAGAAGAAAGATTGTGCCTTTATTGAGCGAAACTGCATGCAGTCCATTAGCAACTGCTTCTCATACTTAGCCCCGCAATTAAGAAACACCGCTACCTTCTTGAAGGGAGAGGTGCAGCATTTTACAAATTGGGTCTTACTAGTGGAAAACTAATTAAAAACAGCTTACTGCGACAAAGAGACTGCTATAAGATGATTAAGACTGAGGTTAGGGCTCAGAAGAGCGTCAAAAGTGCAGTAGAATGTTTCGTCATCGTTTATCTAATATAACGAAACTGAAGAGGAAAGTGCACAACTACTTTAATGCTGGCAGTAGCAGTGGTAGCGGCTATACTAAAGGAAAGCGATGCTCTTGTATGGTTAATAAAAGTGAGGAGAAGGTGGAGACTACGTCACGGCGGTGGTGGGATACGTGGTACTGATGTGACACTTTGAAGGTGTCACAAGTATCAGGAGTGAGGATGCAGATTTCAGACCTTAATATTGTTGCGTTTTATTTCGTTTTGGCAGTAGCAATTGCTCTAACATGGAGGGCTATCATGATGGCAGGGTATAGGGAGGAGGAACAGGAGAATAGGTACAGAAGTATTGGGTAGAGATGAATGTAGAGTGTATTTTGGTGGTAAATAAGAGATAGGAATTGGAAGGAAGCGATGTGAGAAGGTGACATTTTTCCAAGTTGTTGGAGCATTTGCTTTTGGGGTGTGAAATTGTGCATTGCTAAGGGCAAAGACAAAAATGCGCAAAATTGCCCAATTTCATGCTTTTTTTCAACTCTATAGAATTATATAAAGTTTCATACTTTTGCATGTACTTCCATATGTCCTTACCTTACTAGGTAACGGCAACTAAGCGTATCTGTTCCATGCATGAATGCACAATTGAGTTGGTAGGTCACTGAATGCACTTTCTATTGGGCAATACGAGCACTCACTATGCACATAAGAACATTATTAACTAAAATGCCAACGAATATACCTTGAGTCTAAAGAAGATGATGCCTCATCTCTGTCTCTTGTTAGTGGCCGCTTCACTTATGCATAAGAAGGCTGCACAAGCAGTCGGTAAGTGGTTGTTGTGGAGCATCAGGTTGTCACTTTAGTGGGCCCAGTACTCTCCCTTCCTCATCCCACTTCATGTCCATCTTGCACGATTTGGGTATGCCACGTTTTTCTGTTTCTGTTGTGCTTCCTTTGTACTCAAATGCTTCCACCTCACTCCTCTAACTTTGCATTTTGTCGCCTTTAATCTTCATTAAAACGACTCCTTTTGTCACACCAAGCCGAGCAATTAAGGCCTGCAATGTGACATTTCTGTTGACTCTTCATATTCACCACTGTAGGTATGTGTAAACCGGTATTTACGGCGCAGTACTACCCAGAAATGACGTCAACATACATAATAATCTACGATCCTCCGAGTGCCGTAGGAGAGTTTGAGGGTTTTGAAGTGCTAATGAAGACAGGCGGTCTCGTGTCTGTACATCCGTGGCAATCAGTGGCCAATCTGTCTGCAACTTCGCGGTACTATAGCATAGGTGGAATTAAACCCCAATCAACCTATACAGTCACCGTGCGTGGACATCTTTCGTCCAACCGGTCTACTGAAATGGCAGACCCAGTGGAGTTCATGGGAGTGGATAAAGGTCTGTCTCTCCTCGCACTCCGTCCACTCTAGTCCGCCTAGACGTGTTTCATTCCCATTTTACATACAGACAAGAAGACAATTTGACAAGACCTTTCATTTGCTTCCTCTTCTTCAGGTCTCTCTGCTCCACAGAACCTGAAAATGGATGCACTTGACTCTCGCAGAGTGCGTATTACATGGGATCCACCGGTGCAATCGTACGACCGCATCACCGATTACACTCTTGGCTTGATTGTTAACGGCACTTTTACAAAAGCTGTCCTTCTCACCAAAAACAAACCCTACATTTATGCAGGATTAAAACCTGGACAAAAGCTTTCAGCTTACGTTCGTGCAACTAGCCGACCTAAATTGCCCTTCAAACTTACCCTTAAGGGCTTCCAATCTCCCCTCCTTTCAGCAATCACACCACTCCTGACCAGAGGTGAGTCACATCTCCATGCCGTACCTTCTTTTTCACCGCCGGTTATACCATAGGCAGTCGGTGGTGTTACAAGTAGGGATGAAGGCTGAGGCAGGACCACTTTTAAGCGTCTTTGCAAAAAAAATGTGACCAAATTTGAATGATTAGTAACAAAATTAGGTAATGGGGATGCCATTGTGGGATTGATAGTATCAGAAAGAAAGTGTCAAACGTCCAAGCACAAGATTGTCGACTGGGCGGATTCCAAAGCCAGAAAGAAACGCAATAAACGAGTCTAAACTTTTCATGGTCGGTAGTTGGGCTTAGCAGATACCGCCCTGTCTCGCCTCGCTACTAATCACATCGCATCACTTTATTGTTCTTTACAAGATTTTAGTGCTGCCCTAAATTCATCGTCTCTGTGTAGAGCATTTTTAAAGTGCCAATCAATTTTACGCCAACCTTGAAGTGAGGGGATCCTCTCCTCCATCCGCAGTCTCCTTCCTCTGTCGGCTGCAGTGGAGCAAAAGTGGTGTAAAATACGTGCAGGGAAACTAATTTTTTGTTTTTAAATTTCTGTTTTGGTTATCGACAAAATCGTGGATGCATCTTCCCCTCATGCGTCAGAAACGTTATTTAGTCTCTTTTACTTGTTTAAGAAGAAACAAAGTATTAGGCAAAATAGACAGTTTATTCATGGCCCAGTTTGCCTTCGTTCAACTAATGGCGCTCATGTCGACACCTCACCGTTACTGTTGCAGGTATGCGTAAACCGACGTTCGCAGCCACCTTCAGCGCCATTGCGTCAACGCTGATTCTGGCAATCGATGATCCACACGATGTTGAGGGCACATTCAGAGGCTACGAGGTGTTGATGAAGGTGGGTGGTGTTGTCTCGCCAACACCGTGGCAATCAGTGGCCAACCTATCCGCTTCGAGACGATACTACAGTGTGGAGGGCATTCAACCTCTCTCAACACATACGGTCACCGTGCGTGGACACCTCTCCTCCAAACGCTTCAGTGCTCTCGCTGACCCAGTGGAGTTCATGGGAGTTGATAAAGGTCTGCGCCTTCCCTCTCCACCTTCCATTTTTCACTCACACCACCACCACCACCACCACATCCAATCGTATTTACGTCTCTGCCCTCCACACCTCCTTACCTCCCTCCCTTCTCTCCTCCACAGCTCTCTCTGCTCCCCAACATGTGCAACTGGTGGCCCTCGACTCTCACAGGGTGCACATCACATGGCAGCCACCTCTTCACGCCTACGGTCGCATCACACGCTACGCCATCGCATGGCGTGTCGACAACATCGCCAAACCATCAATCTACCTCTACAAGGAGACCAACTACACCTTCACCACCTTGCGACCTGGACAAACCATTTCTGCTTCCGTTGCTGCAACCAGTCGGCCTGATTCGTCCATGAACATTCAGCTCCACAGTGATGCCTCTCCATATGCATCCGCAAGCACACCACTCCCCGTGGAAGGTGGGTAGCATCTGCCCTTCACTCTCTCTCTATTCGCTGCATGTTGTAGCATTGGTGGTGGTCATGGTAGTTGGCAGTGGGGAATGCAGGTCAGGTGTTATTCGATTGGCAAATGTTAATGCAACACCATCAATGTCTCCTCCCTCTCTCCCTCCCTCCCTCCCTCGAGACCAAGGTTGTCCTTTGAACACTTTCACACAGCCTCCACACTCCCACCAATGCTCGCCCTTCCGCCAGTCAAACAAACAGCATTTGTGCCAGTAGGCACACGTGCCTTGCTTGCGCACGGCGACGATGGTGCGTGTGCAATAAAGGCGAAGCACTGGCATTCGAGGGCATCGTGTATTGCACAGCGTTTCGTGGCTGTGCATCTGATGTCAGTGCAAAGGTTTCGAGCACTGCACTTTGACGTGTGCGTAGACAATGGGCTTTCATTGTTTAACTTTGTTGGGAGGGAAGGAAGGGACTGGTCAGTTGGAGACCAACCTCCGATGACGACATGCTGAAGGAGGGCACATGAGTAAAAGTGTTGACGTAATTTGAGTGGTGTAAGAAGGGTGGGGAGTGGTGATAGGGGAGACGAAGTTGGTCACATCGCAAGTGCGACAGTGCTTGCCTTTGCATGGTTTGCAGTCTCCTTACTTTGCATTGTTTTGCAGACGGAGTGGAGAGCAGAGACACTGGAGAGTGGGACAGTGAGTGGCCAAAATAGACGTCTCCCAGTCATTGACTGTCAACGCATGCGACTGCCCTTCCAACACCGCTAATCAAATGTGACACTTTTACACCCCTACAAACTGAGTCACTCGTCCCCACCTCTGCACACCTCTTTTGTTTGCCTGTTTCCTTAATACAGTGCATTGCATTCCCATTTAGCTGCTCATCAATCGCTCCGTGTCGTTCTCATCTATATATATTCTAATATTTGGTGTGGTCTGCGAACGCCAAGACTAAACAGATGATCAATCCACGTAGAATCATTGTTCCATGTGCATCCTCCTAGTGTCGCCGACCTTTGTCTTCTCCAGCTGATTGTGTCACCATAGGCGTACTTCTACGACGAAAGACGAAGTGTCATTCATCTCATCAAAACCGAAACCTGAAGATGAACAATCAGACGTGCAAATTACTGCATGTATCTAAGTCTTGTCAGTGTAAACTGTGTTAGAATTTTCGCAATTTCGTACAGTTGTAGGCACAATTTATGAGACACTACTATAGTGGCTGGATTGAGCATCCACTGAACACTTGAGTCATATTTGTGTCAACACGTTCCACTTTAATTAAAGCTGACAGGCAGATTGGTGTGCCTCTGATACAGTTTAACAACCGCAGCATCTCGTCAAAGCACCAGATCAATGTAACACCTCATGAGCCTCAATTTGTTACTTAAATGTGATAAGTAGCACTATGAAACGATGGAAAGAGTAGTCATCGGGTACATGTGTCAGTTAGGGAGTTGGGAAGGCATCGGTTTTAGCATCGTACTGGCATCTAAACAGTGTACTGTGCACTGGTCGGAATAGTGGTAAGAAAGCAATTGATCAAGTGAATGTTGAATTTTTCTAATGCATATGACAACCGAGAGAAGGCAAACGCCTGTCCTATGTTGGTATGTCGCTACTGTCATTCACTTTGCCTCAACCTTCAAACGGCAATGCGACCGAGCTTCCACTTGATGAGAGTTTTTTAAGCATTGTTTTGGCTGTGTTAAATTCTTCAAC